CGGCATCGCAGCGGTCCAGCCCCAGGAACTTCCAGGCGGAGTAGAGGTGCCCCACCCGGGCGATCTCAGCCCCCGCGTCCTGGCAGCTCTGCTTGGCCTCCTCCAGCGTCATCCCGGCCGGGCGGTCCAGGTAGAAAACCTCTCCTAGGAGGGAGAGGGGAGCATGAGAGGGGAGCATCATCCAGAGCATCCCCATGTGGAGCATCCCTGCCTGGAGCATCCCCGCCCAGGCTGAGTCCTGTGCCCTACAGGGGAGGGATGCCACCAATGGGGCACAGCGTCTTCCCCAGGATCCCACCCCCAGCCCCTGGCCCAGCACCCACCTCTGAGCGAGGAGGAGAAGCAGAAGGCGTCAAAGCGGTGCAGGTGCCGGTGGCGCAGCTGCGGATGCCCGGGGCGAGGTGCAACCCTCCGCAGGGCTTGCGGGGCAGGCGGATGGGGTACTGCACGGTGCCGTCAGCCAGCCAGCCTGCGTTGCACCAGTCCAGCCCCTCGCTCCAGGCCTGGAAGAGCTGGTTGAAGGTGGCGAGGATGGCGCCTTGCTCCTGGCACACTTGCTCGGCTTCGTGGAAGTTGAGCCTGTACTGGCCGCGGGGAGGCTGGTAGGGGAACACGATGCCTGGGGGCAGACGGGGCACTCAGCCGGCTCTGCAGGAAGCCCACCCACCCTGTCCGGCCCGCCAGGAGCCACAGGGATCCCCAACCCATTCCAAATTTAGGGTCTGGGACAGGAACCATCCCAGGGTAGCACAGCCCAAGGCTCAGGCATGCGGGGATGAGGCTGCTCCGGGCATGCAGGCGCCAGCGGCGAGTTGCCAGCGACATCTGGTGGCACGGGGACACAGGGGCTCGGTCCTGGGGAAGCACGGACCACCCTCGTTGGGACGGCGCATACAGGGATGCACAAACTATAATAACGGGGATGCAGGGACGACCACCCCAGGGTCGTATGGACCACGGTTCTGGGGACATACAGACAGCGGTCCCAGGGAGACACGGACCATCCCTGTGGTGATGGAAAGACCATCATGATGGAGATGCACAGGCTGCAGGAACAGGGGCACAAGGACAGGGGCACAGCATCACAGGGACATATGGGCCACGACCTCAGGAGGCATGGACCACCAACATGGGGATGGATGGACCACGGGAACATATGCACCACCACCATGGACCACAGCCACAGGGACCAGTGGGGACAAGCCACCATGGGAGGGAGGACCCAACGGCCGAGGGGGTGTGCAGGGGCAAGGGTGAAATTTCACCAGCTCTGAGCTTGGCAGTGGAGCCAGGGCTGAGTCAGGTCCCCCATGGCAAGTGAGCAAGAGGGGCTGGACCAGTCACCAAGGTTCATCACAAGATGCATGAGGACACCCAGAGCTGGGAGATGACGGAGCAGCTGCACATGATGCAGCACAAGGGGAAGATGGGTGGGCAGAGGTAGGAAATGCTGTGGCCGTGGGGTCACCCCCAACTCTGACTCCACAGTAGCATCCCCAGCATCCCGGCTGGGCAGACTGCTCTGGGCTCACTCGCTGCTGAGACCCCACAGTCAGACTGCCCCAAGCCACCACCCTGTCACACCAAGCATCCCAGACCCTTTCTGCCCATGACTGGGCTCCCTGCCTTGCTACCTCCCTCAAGGAGGGCGTGCCTCAGGAAGGCCAGGCTCACTGGCTTGGCGCAGGGGTTCACGTGGTCCCCACCATGCCCCCACCTTGCAGCCGGAGGTCCACCACATCACTCTCGTCCTCCAGTCCATCAATGACCTCGCAGCGGTATTTGCCATCATCCTGCAAGCGCACGTCACTGACAAGCAGTGAGGCCTCACGCCGGCCAGCCCGGAGGAGGTGAGCTCGGCCCTGGAAGTCCCCAAAGGCTACATAGGTCTTGCCAATAGCCACCAGCACGTCCTGCTCCTTGGTGTAGTCGTCCCGCAGCTTGGACCATTTGATGCGGATCTTGTGCTTGGCCTCCAGGTCAGGCTCGTAATGGTAGTGGCAGGGCAGGGTGACATTGGCACCGTTGAAGCTGTAGACGGGGTCTTTGGGGGTCTCCACCACCAGCTTGGCCCCATTGAAGTAAACCTCTGGGGACAAGGAGGGAAGGCCTTAAGTGTGGGTCAGGGTCCACGGCCAGGCAGCGTCCCCAAATCTCCTTGCAGCTGCTCTGTTCCCTCCCTCCAGCCACCTCCTCTTCTGCCTGAGCATTCCATGAGCAACCCCTGAGCATCCCTGCAGCACCCTCGCCTGTTCCTCTGGGCCTCACATCCCCATCCCAGAGGCGGGCCCCCACCCCATCCCAGAGGCACGGGAGGGACATCAATCTCTTATACCAACCTGCCAGCCCCGCTTCCCACCAGCCCTGCCAATCCCCCGATATACCTTTCTCCTGCCCGTTGCCATTGTCGTTCATGATGTGGTTGTAGTAGAAGCCATTGTAGAAGGGGTGGTGGGAGCCGCTGGCCAGCCAGAGCAGGGTGGCCTCCAGGAGCAGCAGGAGCAGCAGCATGGCTGAGGAGTGAGCCTGAAGCCTGAGCCCGGTCTACAGAGGGGTAAAGGGCTGTGCTAGTCCCCCAAAATAACCAGGCGTGACCAAGCGCTGCCCCATACCACATGCTGGGCAGACATCATCGCAAGGATGCAAGGAAAGGGGTGGGAAGAGACAGCAGAGGGGCTCATCTGCCCGCAGGGGAGAGTGCAGGCAACCTGAGCCGTGGCCCCAGACCTGCCCAACAACTGGGGCTCCCAGTCCCCACCATCCTCATCCTCCTGCCTGGGTCACGCCGCATACCACTGCATTCGCTGCTGCCGCCCATTGGGGCTTGCAGAGCACCCAGCCCAGAGCAGGGAGCCGAGACCAAGCCTGGGACGGGGCAGCTGGGGGAAACAGGATCCCAGGGTGTCCTCTGAACAGGGAGCACTGGGAAAACATCACGTAGGGGGTGC